AATGCATTTCAATATTTTAAATTCAATTACTTAATGTTAAAACCATTTTAGTAATAAGCTACTTTTTATGAGCTCATCAAAATATTGCACAGCCATAGATTTTACGATTCTCAAATTAAAATTGAATTTACAAAATGAAACTAATAAGTAATTTTATGGTCATACATATGGCTTTTATCATCTTTTTAGTATCATCAAAGGATGAATAAAATATCAATCTAGTAAACTGTACGAAAACTGTTATAAAAATTAATTTTAAACCTCAATTTTACTTAAGTGTGGGTCTAAGCTATGTATATTTTTATTATAAATTCTATATTAAATCAATTTTTCTCAGCGGTATTTGAATTCAGACTTCAGTAGCAATGATTAACTACTAAATTTCAATATGTTCCCATAAAAATTACTAAATATAGATATTTGTCAGTACCTGGAACAATATATGTTCAATAAAAAATTTGATCTAATTAATAATTATTTTCAATTTTACATTTATACTAAATATTATAAACAATTTAAAAAATGTTCTTTTTATAGTAATTACTCTAATTTCTAAAGTTTTAGCATGTTATTAAAAATTTGCATATGTATACGACGCTATAACTACGTATTATTTAAGAATAAATGCATTTTTTAATATATATATACTTTGTTACCAAAGTCTGTTATTGTTTTTCTTTGTGTAACAGTCAGAAGAATCAAATAAATTTATTATTAATGATTAACTTTATGAAATAAATTTTTCTAGATATGTATGTGGTTTTATAAACATTAATTAAGCTTACCGGATTATTTCTCAGTAAGAACGAATATCAGTTTACTATATTCTATAGCTAACTTATGAGCACAAAAACAGATATTAATTTTCTATCTAAGGTAAATAATGAATATCAATAGTGCGACTTCCAGAAATAGTAACAGATATCTGTTACTATATAAACTTATGGTTTAGTTAAAAGATATTTTAATAAAAATCTGTTTTTGTCTTTTTTAACTATTGATGTGTGTTTATCACAACTATTGTTTAAATATTCAAATAACTAAAATCACTTATTAATTGAAAACACTTATCAATTGAATATTATTTAAGTTAAAAAAAAATACAGTTATTATTTTTCCTAGTATCGAATTCGATACGTTTACATCTGTTTTTAGCTTTTTAGTCTATGTAATTTTTTTATTCTACCAAGATATGGGGTAATGAAATATAAATAATATTACACCAAATACAATATTATATCAAACGATATATGTTTATATTATAACTAAGCAACTTGATGATTTTTCAGCAAAAGTTGTATGTAATTGCATCTACAGTAGATTGTTTCTTAATAAAAAAATATATATATTTAAAGTTTTATTATCTACAATAATTTTTTACATAAACTAAATTTTTATTGAGTTACAATAAGAAAACATATTTTTTGTATATATGATTAAAGAGGGGTCATTCAATATAACACCCCTTCTAGTGTCGAAAACTTGGATTTTTTTCAGAGTAATTAACTTGATAATATATGTTACATAACACCTATTGCAGGGTAAAGTAATTTTTAATCTTAACTGACTGGAGTATATAGATATAAACATATATAATATCAGTTAATACTAAAAAACAAAAAACAGATGTTAATGTATCGAATTCGATATTAGGAAAAAATGATAAAGAGTATTTTTGTTTAAACTAATATTAAATTGATAAATATTTGTATTTAATAAGTGATTTTAGTTATTTGATTTAAATAATATCTGTATTATACATACATATGTATATCAAAAGTTAAAACAAACAAAAACAGCTTTTTGTTAAAAGATGTTTTCTCCAAACCATAAGTTTATACAGTAACAGATATCTGTTACTATTTCTGGACGTCGTACTATTGAAATCAAATATAAAATTTAGAAGAAAAGTTAATATCTCCTTTTTTTTATTTATAACTCAGTTATAGCATATAGTTAATTAATTAAGAATTTAATCAACTTGATCTGGTTTTAGATCTTAGTATTATAGTTCTTATTACCAGCTTTTGATTTATAATTTCATTAGTATATCAAAAAACATGTCTTTAGGTACAAATTAAAAATACTTAAATTATTTATGTTTAAAGCTGTAAAAAAAAAAACATTAAACTCAATTCGTCAATTTGGCTTTTGCTGTTGTTAATCTTTAATGGAATATAACTCTTAATAAAAAGTTACTCTTATAAAAACAACAAATAATCTCCCTTCAAAAGCTGTAATCTGTACGGCCTAATAGCAATAACTGTTCCATGTGTAATAATTTAAAATAAATATTATACCATTTTTTTTTTTTTAAATAAATAAAATTGTGCCAATTAACTAAATTTCTTTTTTAAGTTCTTAAACATTGACTTCCAAAAAAGTTGTAATCTGGTGTAGTTCAATGTATCACAATATTGTTGTTGTTATACTCATTATATCGTTAATGTTGTTGTTTCTGTCTCTGTCTTTGAAGTTCCCTTTAAAAGTATTTTGCGTATTGTAATTGCCTATTGTTATTCATTTTACGGCTATTTTTGTTTACTTTTATTTCCTTATACCTCCATTATTTGTTCCCTTTACGAATTTAATAATAATAAAATTCTTTGTTTATTTTAGAAACAATAATAATAATAACAAAACAAGTTTGTACTTAATTTTATAATTAAAACAATAAAATAATGTAAATAAATATAAAAGAGAGTATGTGAGTGAATTAAACAATAAAATATTGTATATTAAAAAATACATACATCATATATATATACATATGCTTATAACATATATACACACATACATGGTAAACATTAAATTAACAAAGGACTTAATAGTATAAAAACATATAAACATTTATGTCTATGCTTATATAAAATTTAGTTATTTCGGTCAATAACCCTGTGGAATATCTGAAATTGCCTAAAGATAGAAAATTAGTACGAAGGGGTCATAGTAAAACTAAATTGACTCTGAAACTTCACTTCTAGACTAAGAGTCGTTATTAAACATTCAAAAATAAAACGAAACCATAATTGAACCTATCTGGACCTATACAGCACAGTAATTTAGTAATTCAAGTATACTCAAGTGATTTAATCGTTTAAGTCAAAGACTCTGGAATTTGTTTCTGTAAAATCATACATATTATTTACAGAGATTTGATAGACAAATAGTATGTACTATGCAACAACAGAAATGAATCTGTAACTAAAAAAACTTTATTGACTTCCTGATAAGATTTGTTACTCACATTCAAAAATATAAAAAAAAAAACTATTATTGAACCTATACCTATCTGGGCCTATACACTAGATATATTGTGAACTTCCAGTAATGTAAATATTCAAGTGATTCAATTGTTTCAGTCAAATATTAAAATTGGTAGGTAGTGCTACCTGACTTGTGTGAAAACATATTTTTTACGGAGATTTGATAGAACAATAGGGTAGACTATAGTATAGTCTATAGACTGTAGTATAGACTATGCAAAAGAGTAGTAAACAGAGTTTTAGTTGTATAAGAATTTAACAACCAATTATCTTATTGTCCTTATACACAAAAATGGTACATTAAGTTAATAAAACAAAAAAATAAATTAAATTGTTTAAAAAGTATTATAAAAAAAAATTAAATTTCTTTTGAAATCTTTGGTTAATTTTTTTATGAAATCATTCTCTTCGTCGTTAGGTCTTGTTTTTTTTTTTAAATTATGTATGCCCATGTTTTATATATTTTTCGAACTTTTTACTATGTTATACTGAGCTTTTCTTTAGAAATTTTTAATCATAATACACTTTTGTTTATCATTTTGGTGCATTTTTGTTTATAAAATTATTCTTTTCGTATTTTTCTTGAATTTTTATCACTAAAAAAAAAATATCAAAGAGAAACAGAAGTAAATTCACTTCATAATGGGAACATTCGCAATTACCGATTTAATTATCTTAGTAAATGATTTTGAAGGTTTTTAATGGGTGTGCCAAAAAGCCGTGTTCGTGTAAAAGCCGCCATATGGCCATGTAAAGAGAAGACCAAACGAACATAAAAAGGTTGAGGTAGGCAATGGCAAAAATGATTGGAGAATCCAGAAGCATATAAGGAGCTTTGACCCGAAATAAGGTAAAACTAAAAAAAAAAATGAAGGAGATGCACAGTGCTATGTTATATGTAGAACACAACTAAAAGAATAATTTGTAAAATTCAAATTAATCAAACTGATGACGTATAGACTCTAGTACAAATCGGAAAAGGGTATACTTATTAAATAAAATTCAACAAATTTTATTATCACAATTTAAAAATTGATAAGACTTACAAGACCAAATTTATAAATTGGGTAATCCATAATGGGTAATTTTTTCTGTTATATTTTTTATATTTTCAAATTTATTAAAATAAAAAATCCAAATACGTTCTATTGAAAATTGTTAGCAGTGATATTATAATTATGTATAAATAGCACAAATAGCATAAATAGTTTAACAGAATGCACATTTACGCGATGTTATAACATAGCATATACATATATTGAATGGTGTACGTATATACGCACACACACATATATGAAAACATATTATGGCACAAGTGGATTTTTGGCTACGTGCGTTTGTGCTTGCGACTAAAATTTCTTGTTTTATTTTTCCATACGCTCGTTTTCATCACATTTGTTTGTTGTCCAAATATTTGTTTTTGGACTTCTGTTAAACATTTCATTTCATTTTGATTTTATTTATTTTTTTTTATTATTTTTAAATTTTTTAATTTTTATTGTTTAAATTATGTATTTTCATTTGTTATTATGATTTTTTTTATTACATTTATATTTTTATTTAATTTATGTTTTATTTAATTTATTTATAATAAAATAACAATTATTATTTGACCTTAATATTTATTTTTTTTATGTTTGTTAATTTAATTCTTTTTTTAATTGTATTTACTTTTTTATATTTTTTTTTTGCTGTTGATGCAACAAGCACAAATCATTTGATGCATCAACTTACCTTGTACTCTGCTATAGGAATCCTTAGTGTGTACAGTTGAACAATTCTCCAAAGTGCCATACGGAAATTGTTCAAAATCTCGGTAATAAGTATTACGTATCGAACCGCCATAGGACATGGTGGAGTCACCAGCAAAAACGCCCCATACATCCATAATTGTATTTAATAGTTCTCCTCTTTTTGTGCTTAATTTGTAACTATTTTAGTTGCAGTTCTATTCTGTTTCGTTGTTGCTTAACTTTTACCCGCCAAATCGTTAATTTAGTGGTTATAATTGCAACCAAATTATTTTGTCGTTTGTTTTTGTATACACAGAGAAAATATTGAGGCAGGCCCGTTTTTTATGCTTCGCACAATAAATTCGTGCAAATTCTTTATTTTTTTGTTTTTGGTAAAAAAAAAGTTTTTGTTGCTTTTTTTCAGTGCTTATTTTTGTCCGTTCATTGACTTTACAAAAATGCAACTTCAATAATTTTGCTCTTTTACATAAAATTGTTTTTCTTCTTTTTTTGCTCACAATATTTCAATAAAAAATGTTTTCAATTTTATTTTCACTCTACTATATAAAACGTTTGTTATTATTTGTAATTTTATTTTACAATCAAATTGCTAAAACGTTTTTCTTTAATAAATTAAAAAATTTTAAAACCTTGCTTTACACCGAAAAAGCTCTCTACTATTTGAAGTCTCGTAATAAACTGAACTGAATTTGTCAAAGTTGCCTGCAATTTTCTTTTCACTCGTTGCCTATAGTTGTTGTTTTCTCTGCTGCGATTGCTGTTTTTCTTTATTCTGTTAATTTTCTTGTTTGCTATTTGCTTACTGATTCGATTCGTTCGTTCGTTGCTTCGTTCGTTGGTGGGTTTGTTGTCTTCTCGTACTTTTGCAATGCACACACACATATATACACTTGTGTACTATGCGTATCGTTGTGTACATACTCGTGCTTAAATATGTATATATTTTTGTTTGTTTGTTTTGTTTTTATATTGTTACTTTTTGGTCACACCAAATAGCGTTTCGTATACTTGTAAGGTGTATGCTAAAAATGTGGTATGTGCACATATGTACGTCACGTACACACACGTTTTAAAAAGTAGACCTTTTTTGTCGATGTTTTTCGATTTATTTTTTCTATTTTATTATTTTTTTCGTTAATTTTAAATTCAAAAATAAATCAGAAGGCAACAGGGATTCATTTTACTGCGAAAGGTCATTCACAACTGACGTCAGTATCAAATGGGCCGTGCACACCCACTCAATATAGATATGTGTGGGGTGTGGGATGTGGGATGTGGGACGTGGGATATCTAAAGGCGTTAAAGCACGGTACAGTATTACTGTACGCTTGAGAAAAGTTTCCGTATAAGGGCATCAAATATGAATGTCATTTCTTCTACTTCTTAGAAGATGGAAATGTGTCTATTTTTAGCATGTCAAAAATCTTAGCAAGGATAAAACAAATAAGTTCAAGTACTGTTTGAAATGTATTTGAAGGTAAAGTGAAGAAATTAATTAGTGTAATTATTAAATTAGATTTCATATAAGCTGTTTGCAATGAAATTTATTGAAGGATGAAACTTTCAATCAATTGAAGGATGACACTGTTAAATTGTCAAATCACTAATTAACAAGTTAAGCTAATACTGTCAGAAATCAAACTACTCAAGTATTAAGTGGTCTCAACGCTTTAGACAAAAGCTGTTGAATGTCTTTGAGATCTACAATAATTATTATAATATAGTCTTTCAAAATTTTTAGTTGGAATGAAAGATTCTTTAAAACCAAGCAAATATTTTTAAAATAAAATTACAAAACTAAAATAAAAAACCATAGAGATATACAGTAATCCCCCCTATAACGCGGTAGATTGGTTCCGCGTTATAGAAAAATGCGTTACAGGGGTATTCCCGTATACCCCGTATACACACGTGTAAAGGTTCTCGAAGCTAATTATGAACTGAACAAATCCCCGCGTTATATGTGGGAAAGTCCGTGTTATACGCAGGATTGAAATCGCGTAATATGAAGACGCGTTATAAGGGTACCGCGTATTATAAGGGGGGACTATTGTATACGATCTCGTTTTATATATTCCAGTAAATATATTTTGTTATTGCAAAATGTTTTGTTACCATTTTAATACGTTACCATGTTCGCTATTTGAGATTATGAATACCACTATTCATTTTTATTAAAATCTGTTATGCCTTTAAATGGACTCATTTTTCGAAGAGACAGAAGTAAGTTGTTTCTATTATTATTTGTTACACTCTAATCCCTTTTTGACAATTTCAATGGATCTTGACTAGCAATTAATCTACTTGTCACTTTAGGCTTACGATTTATAAAGCTTTTTATTAATAACGTCCATGTAACTTGGTTTTAAAGATACCTGGCTTAAAAGCTTTAAATTTTTATATTAATTACACAAAAAAAAAAACTAAACTAATTAAAAAGCTGCAAGTTTTAAAGGGCTAAACTTTGTCACTGATGTTTGAGTGAACTACCAATTAAAATAATACAGACATCTTAAGCAATGTGTGTCTTCACTAATTGCTTTTAAGACTCTAATTTGGTGTCGCTAGATCTATGAGGACTACCTCTGATTTCGGCTAACCAGCACTAACTATCTAATGACAACTAGTATTCCTTGCGAAATTACGGTGTCCCATGAATATTAATCGTAATTAATCTTTAGTCATTGTTTGGAAGGTGTACAAATATTTTATTAAGTTCTGTTGTCAAATTACAACACCCGAGACATCGTTATACTTTAATATGCTTTATACATTGTGTGAAAACTGTACCTTAAGTTTATCAATACCTCGTATTTACACGCAAGAACTCCATAAGGTAAAGTTTACTGAGAGATTTATACTTGAAATCGGACATTCCTTCATAGGTCCTATGGTACTTGGAAAATTCTACACGAAGAAATCTTTGAGTATGACATATGATTTTTTTTTAATCTGGTATAGGTGAGTACATGCTATTAAAAATTAATGTTTTGAAAACAGAAGAAGGTGTGTCATGGTATTGCATTGCATTATTATTGGTTGCAATATCGTTGATTATCAACAGCAGTTATTCATTGTCAGCTAATGAGAACCGTTTTATTGTTTTGTCTTAGTTGTTGATGTGTGAAATGATTTTTTTTGAATATTTTTCATGGGTTTAACTCGGTTGACTATATCCGATAGTTGATATACAAACCGATCGCTTATACAGGGTGTATTTTTGGTAGGTACTTTTTTATATATAGTAACAATTGTTAACAGAGTTCTACACCATGCGACCAAATGGTTCATTTTTGTCTGAGAACTGTGTTTTTCAAAAAATTATATCTTTGTCTCAAGGCGACTATACTGTATTAATTAACTATATTGTCTCCAGAAATAAAGTTGTCTCGGTGGAATAAAACTTTTTTCCTTTGCAAATAGACACGTTTCTCGGTAAATATGACTTATAATTTATACATTAACATTGCATAGGATGATACAGTCATAAGACAATGCTTTTGAATTAAGTCAATAAGTAGTTTACCCTTGTGACACCAAAATATATTTCCCGTCACAGTTCCCATTATAGACATCGTGCTCTTTCTCCTTTCCCACTATTGTGATTATCTTTTGGTCTCCAGAGTGTAGTGTTAAATTCATCAACAGTAGCGAATATCTGCGAAAATTTCATTTTTTTACTTAAATTATTTTAACAAGTCTTGGAAATATTTAAGTGATTCCATTTTGCCGTAAATGCAATACTATTTAAAAAAACTGGTGGCAATTTTTGGTCACTTATTTTTTTTTTTGCTAACGTAATCTATATGATCTATTCACAGTAAACCACTTTCTTTTTTACTATTGTGGATGATGATGCGAGGTCCCAGTAAACCTAATCTATTAAACTTTAAATACAAAAAATCGAACAAAACTAGACGTTTGTGACTTTCCATTTTAATTTTTAAATGAAATTTTTGTTAGTCAATTCATAATACCTTTGTGTAAAGGGCATTAAAACTTCGGTAAACCCAAATCTAATTATTTTTTATTTATATTTTGTATTTATATTTTTAGAAAATAATCTAATTCTTTGTGTGTGAGTTACGTATCATTGGTATCATTGGTAAGTAGTAGTTATGTCTCCAGGTGGTCCGCGAGCGAGTCTAGAATTTCTTTGTGGTTTAAAATATAAAGCAAGACTTAACTTATATTTCCTGCTTAAAATTTGAAACAGAATAATTACATAATTATGAAGTATAAATGCTCATATTATTACCCATTCAAATTGAAGTGGTTGGGAAAAAAAGAATGAAATTATATGCCGCCGAAATAAGTTCCGCAAATAAAAATTTTAAAAGAGTAAACCTTTGTACTTTTATGTGTTATTTTAAAAATTTTTCTCTTTATTTCTTTGATAAATAATTATATATGTATACAGGTATAAACATTCTATTTTCAAACTCTTACTTGTTTTAAAACAAAGTCGACTGAAATACATAAAGTTTCTTAATTATTTTGAGTTGCAAAAACACGGAACTTGAGCAATATCTTATTCTTATCATCATTTTACAAGTTATTTATTGACTTGTTTTTGCGTGATAATTATTTAAAAATATTATACAAGTTAAAACGATTTTAAACAGAAATATTTAGCGCAATTCCGTTTTCCCGGGCAATTTGAATAGACTGCTGGTTTTTGTAGAGTCCACTGCATGGCGATATAGCTAACATCTCTACACATCAAAGTTTAATTAAGATTGTACATATATTTTTACATTGATTGTAATGCATGATTTTGTCAGATTTCTTATCTATTCGCAGGGACTATCATTGCAACAATATCTCTATTGACGTTTGTAAGTCAAGCATTAATAACATATGATGCATTCGTCCGGAAATTTACATATATGTATATATATTTGATACTTTAACTCATAGGAGGAGCATAGGGCCGCAACAAATATCTTCCATTCGGTATGATTGGTGGCCAATAGCTTCTAATCTGCCCAGCTTTTTCGCATGTGTAACATGACTTCTCTAGAAAATTTACATAATTAATATAAACTCCTTAGACAAGCTTATATGAACTTCGAAAGCGAAGCTTCATTATCTTCTGATAATGGATAGATATAGAGCGATTTTATAAATAAATAAAATATATGTTCTAGTATATGTATTCTCGTAAATGCAACTCATTTTAATAGCCCTAGAGTAGAGCAGCATTAATCATACAAATCGTTTACTACGACACGTGATTGACAAAGAGATGTAACTATCTTTGACTAAAAGAACTCACTGAAATTGGCTTGATAAAGTCATATCAGCGGAACCAGTTAACATATTTAAATAATTTCACCAACCACTAAGTAATTTCAATAAAAGGCTATATCTATATTTATTATTTCTTCATGAATGTCATCAAGTGCTTATCGTATCTACTACGTTCTTAGTACTACATGTGTAAAACGAATAGAATACAGAATGGTTTATACTAAACTTTGGTTCTATTAGGCAGCTAGGATGTGCTTTTAAGTAGCACTTTATATCTACATTGAACTTTATAGATAGTATTTAAGGCAAGAATAAACGAAATATAGAATTGTTGATTAAATATGTTAATATATTATAAAATGGTTATATGTTGTTGTGCTCAAGAAGCCTTAATACTCTTATATTGTTAAACTGTTATATTGAAATTCAATAGCAATCTTACGTCTTTTAAATAACATTAAATTCAAATTATTTGTGTTTTAATGTTTCATCTTTTTCCACATATTTGTATATGTGTGTAGATTTTCTTGCTATTAACTTAAAAATCCAAGCTCTCCATTGAAAATAATATACTAAGATAATTTATAAGATTAATATTAAGTCTATATGGCTCTATGGTACCGAAGTATATGGTACTACAAATAACATAAACATTGTCGTAATTCAAAAACTTACAAAAAAGTTCAATAACCAATTTATATTGATTATAGCTC